AGTCCTTCAACCTTTGCACACAGATAACCCCCTTCCTCCCCATCTCACTCAAAAGATCCTATATATTACACATTATATATATTACATCAATCTCATCCCACGTGCCCCAGTCCCTGTACCGGTCATGGTCAGCACTTCGGAAGCGAGGCAGGATCTGGCGAAAGCTGCTGGTCCGGTCAAGTTTGGGTTGTGACTTCGTGCGTTTGATGGAGCTTTTTAGCCGCCGGCTCAGGAAGCCTTGCTGGGGGGGAAATGGGGATGGGGTGGGTTGGGGCAGGGTCAGTTTTACCTACCCATCCCTCAGCTGGTAGAGAGTCCTGGATGGAAGTGGCATGGGGGAAAAAGGGAAGTCTCTGGAGGTGAGGAAAGGGGGATAGGAGCCCTGATACCAGATCGTCTCCCTTGCAGTGCAAGCATACACACAAACATGCCAGCTTGGAGAAGGCGGGAGGTCCGAGAAGCAGGGGGGCAGAGCCAAGAAGGGGGAAACCAAAGGGGTGGGGAAACACACACACACACACACACACACACACACACACACACACACACACACAAGCGCTCTCATTCTCTCTCACCCCCCTCCTACCCCCTTTCTCAGAATCGTGCTATGGCTGAAGGGGGGAGCCAGCTGAGCCACAACTGGCAGGTGCTCTCACTCACCGAGGGCCGGAAGGGTGCAGCGGGGGCGGCCTCCATGCTGTACTGCTTCCCCCCTGGGACACTCTTCCTCCTCGAGCGACCCAAGTGGTATTCTGGAGGGGAGGAAGGGGCCAGAAGGGAAGTTGGGGGGAGGGTACCAGGAGGGATGCTATTTACCCAGGTTCCACCCCTCACCCCAGTGCCTTCCTCCACCTCCCTCTGCCCCTCAGCTCTGGCCTCACCTACCCCCTGGAAAGCAGCAAGAAGAGCAGCAGCGATGGAGAGGCTGGCAGTGGGAAGGAGGGGGCAAGGAACCTGAGCCGGAGCCCCCTGAGGGGGATGGGGTGGGAGGCCTTAGACCCATGACTGGGGCTGGCAGTCAGCAGGGGGGCATGGCTGAGAGGGTCAGTAAAACCCCAGCAATGAAGGACACTGAGGATCCAGGAAGGCTAGGTCCCTGGTACCAACCCTCACCAGAAGGGGCTAGCTGGGGTGAAAGATAGGTTAGAGGTCATTGCCCATAGGTAGGCTTTCCTCTTCTCCCAGCTGGGGACATCTTCTACCTGCTCCCTACCTCCTGGAACCCCTGAGTGTCTGGAGGGCCAGGGCTGCCTCCCATGACCCCCTCCCTGGACTGGAGGGGGTGGTCTTGAAAGAGACCTGTGAAGAGTGGCAGTGGGAAAAGCCTAGGGAGAGAAAACCTAAGGAAGGGGCAGGTGGGGGAAGGGAGAAGGAGCTGGTTCCACGTGCACTGCAGTGACAGGGACTTAGAGGGGAAAGGGCAAAGGGGGAAAGCAGAAAATGCAGGGGAGTGGGCAGGGAGTGAGGAGGATGGGCGGTGGGGGTTTAGGGACTCCCAAGCAAAGGTAGGGAGAGGAAGAGGAGGGGAGGTGAATGCAGATGAAGCTCAACCTGCCAAGAGCCTAGAGGGATGGCAGCTCTGAAGAGGGAAGCTGAGACTCTGCTGGCAGGGAATTTAGAGGGGCTGAGGGGCTGGAGGAGAATGAAAGTGGGGGGATGCCAAGCTCCGGCTCCAGCTCCAGAATGGCTGCCCAGGCCTGGGCTCCCCCCTCAGCCCCACAGTCACCACTGCAGCCAATGGGGGGGCAGGTGCTGCATCAGGGGCGGGGCCATCATCTCCATGGTAACAAGAAGCTACAGGCTGGGGGGGGGGGGGACCGGAAGAGCTGCCTGTTAACCCTCTAGGTTCCAGAACAGAACAAAGGAGGGCCACAATTATTTTTTCACTGTCTGCTTCCAGAATTGCAAATTGCCCTAGAATCAGTCTCCAGCTTCCCATTACTTATAAAACCCAGATGTTAGGAGGTTTGCATACAGAAATGTGGATGCCATGACACAAGTACCCTATTAGTTCTGCAGGAACACATGTAGAGCACAGAAACATACACTGAGTGGTGGAGGTACGTGTATATGAGAACCATGATATAAAAAATCAATAGGGATCTATGTGTTTCTGAGACAAACAGACAACTGTGAGCACCAGAGTAGAATGGATCCACATTCTGAGACCCTGAAGCCCACACACCCCATGGGATACATGCTTAGACATATGTAAGCACTGCAACAGGGAGTACATACTTGAACCCAGACACCCACATGAGAGCTGCAGATGTGGACTTTGTGGCCCAAGTCCCTTGGGCAATCATGTGGGCAGCACACTGCAGAAATAGACATGTAACCCTAAGACACACATGTCCCCCACACAGGGAAATGCCAGTTTAACCCCTAAGATACATGCTTGAGTACACCATGATCCCAACCACATAAAGGTATTCCCATAACCCAGAAGCATAAACATCTTTCATTCACATGAAAAGTACAACCACATCTACTCTGTTTTGGGACAACCTCCTTTTTTCCCCAGCCCTTCCCTGACTCCAACACAGACATCAGTAATTGCTACCAGAGTAAAGAAAAATGAGGAGCAAATGTGTTAATTTGTCCTGTTACACACTAAGCAATGCATCCAAGGGTTCAAGATATCTCTTTCCTAGCTACGATTCTCTGCACTTCTCGGCATGGCTGCCTCCCTTTATTTCAGGGAGCCTAGCTCAGCCATCATTCCCAGACGCACGCTTCTCTGATAAAGCCATAAAGTCCAACTTTAAACCCACTCAAATTTTGCTTTGGAACTAAAACATCAACAGAAGGAGAATGAATTTTCAAATTGGTTTGCTTGGTTCTTGGAAGTAACATAACCTTATACATATTACCAAGAACTAAGATCCACAAACTCACACATAAGTCACAGGTACATGGAGGCCACATAAACATATGCTTACAAAGACTCACTGCCATAAGGAAAAGACTAACAGACACACAGAAGAAAGGGGCCTAGTGTGATAGAAAGATAGGACAGCCTGTTATTAGTGCTGCATGCAGTGACATGTACAGAGAACACAGCACACATCCATGTACACACAATGTGTACAGAGCAAACCCGAAAAGCATATACTGTGATCCTGAGTCTCCATGTCCCATCCTTGCACGTTATATACAGGCATGCACACACTTAACAACCACCTACACAAACCCGTAACACAGGCATTGTGCACACACCCACACATGTACACACCCTGTGTACACACACAATTGCACTCTCACATACATAGAGCAAGAGCTTGGACTCCTGCCCCTCCAATGTCTCTAATCTTACAATCACCCACAGAATCTCCCCTGCCCTCCAATCCCCCAAATCCCTAATCTTCCCTTTGGCCTTTCTTCCACTCCACACCCAGCTGGCAGCTCTCAAGGAGAGCCAGGGGAGCAAGGTTGCCAGAGAAGGATGAAAAACAGGGTTGCCCAGAGAGCAGAGAAATGGGAGACAGCGAGTGCTCTGTGCTGGGGATATGAACCTCTAATGACAGTCCCTGCCATGACAGGCCTCACTGTGAGCTAGCCTCTATGCCTGAGTGGCCTCCCCTGATCCAACCACGGCTAACCCTACAGGGCCTACACAAATCCAGTGTCCTCTCCTATCTTCCTCCCATTCCTCTTTCAGAGACCATTTTACCAAAAGGCCTCTCTCCTCCACCCATCCTTTCCACTCCCAGGCCCCTTCTCCCCCTGTCTCCATCCAGTTCCCCATCTTGAGCTCTTATTCCCTCCTCTCTTCTGAATCTAGCTCTGCTCTCTTCCCCCGTTCCCCTTCTCCAGCTATTCTTTCTCCCTGGCTCTCTCTTCTCCTCTTCAAACCTCTCTCATTCCTCCTCTCCCCTTTTCTCCCTACTTTCCTCTTTACTCCACTTCTCCCCTTTTCAGCTTTTCTGTCCCCACTCCCTGACCAAGCAGGGGCTCACACCTGCCTAGCCCAAAGGTATTGCATACACATTAGGGTTCCAAGGAACACACTTACACACACTCCCCCGCCCCCACCACTAGCACACCACCCACATCCAGGCACACCACCCACATCCAGACACGCCCTGGGCATCCATCCTGGGATTGACACAGATACTCAGGCCAATGCAAGAACACACATGCAAAGACACACACCTGCCACCAGGGACACCGAAAATCCTACTTATGTGGCCATGCATTCCCTCACACAGGAAACTGACAAGAGGTGAGCCACAGCCAGGGACATACATGCTCAGAGTCAGAGGTGACATGGACCTGAATGGCCATGGACTGCCCCACAAGCCAGTGACTGGCCAAACAGTCCCCTAGGCAGGAAACAGGCAGAGGCTGGATAAGACAGACATGCTTGCACAAGGCTAGCTGCACATGTGTGCACGAGGAACTGGGCCCCGTATGCACATGGCATTGACACACAGGGAACATGAGCACAGACACGAACACACACGCGGACAGATGGGCTGTCCCCTCCACTGGGGGCTTGAAGACCCTCACACACCAGCCGCTCCCGCGCCCTCGCGACCCTGCCCCATGAGACCGGTCCCAATCCCTCCGACCTCCGATGCCCCTCGCTCCGGTTACCATAACTCCCCCCACTCGGAAGATGCAGCGAGAACATGCGGAGGGAGCAGCTGCAGCCGCCGCCGCCGCCACCGCGGCTTCCCCACCCCCCCCGCGCCCACGCACACGCGCGCCCCCGCCCCACGCGTGCGCGGCCCCCAACCCCCCTCGCGCGCTCGTCGTCCGCCCGGCCCCGCCCTTACCTCGAACCGCCCCCCGTGGGGGGGGTCGGGGATGTCCCCGGTGGGGGAGGGGCCCCGCCCCTGCGCGGGGGGAAGGGCGGGGTGCGGAGGGAGAGGGGGCGGCGCGGCTCGGCTCGCGCCGCCCGGCGCGGTGGAGGCGGTGGCGGGGCCCGGGACGGCCGGGGCGGCCGCGCGGTGACGGCCGCGGGAACGGCTCCCTCCGCCGCCGCTCCCGCCGCTGCCGCCGTTGCCCGGGCCCCGCCGCCGTTGCTAGGCGACCGCTGCTGCCGTGGCCGCCTCTGTCACGAGCCCCGTCGCCCGGAGACAACGCGAGAGAGACGGGGGAGGGGGGCAAGGAGACCCCCAAAACCAACCGGGCCACCCACCATCCCTTTCTGAGCAGGACCCCCCCTCAAACCACGGAGGGAACGAGGGTTCTCGGCTCCACCCAGCAGAGGAGGAGCCCTGGATTCCTATGTCCCTCAAAGGTCCGGCGACCTCTCCCGGGCTGGAGAGTCCACATCCTCAGCAAACACCTTTGCATACCCAAGCCCCCAAGGACCCTATGTCCCCTGCACATCCTCCATGCTTTTTACATATTCCATGCCACCTGAAGACCCTAAACATTCAACAGCTATCAACTCTCACTAACCCCCCAATATATGTACCCCTGAAAGCCTTTCCAGCCCGACTGAACCCCAATATAGCAACCTCCACATATGACCCCAACCCCAAACACACACGGTGCCCCCACCCAAAACACACAGGAGACCCATGCCAAAGACCCCAGACCCTGAGGAGAAGGATGGGGAATATGTGGGCAGATCAGCCAACCACAAGACACATAAACATGCACCGTAAGCATGTGACCATTTTGGCCTGGGCATACAGGTGTACACACGTGCACACAAACACCTTTCCCAGACATGGACATAACATACTCACATATACACATACACAGATGTGATAGACATCACATGCACATCCTCTTTATACACTCCACCACCACCACCTGGCTTTGCCTCACAGAGATGTGCTACCCACATGCCCCCATGGTCAGAGTTTTCCATGACAATAACACACATCCCTGACCACTCACCCACCCACCCAGGGTCCCAGGGCTGGCTCCCAAGGACAATGAAGCCTGCACCTATCAAAAAGAAGGTAGGAGGGAGCCACGGAATGGATGGGAACAGGCTGCCGGCTCTCTAAGGGAGAGAAACTGGTAGCCTGGATCCCTGAGAGGAGGGGGAGCCGGTGGGAGAAAGGGGTCACCTGGGGGTTGGAGGAATGGGGGACCTGGATCACTGGGTCCTGGAAGGGAAATGTAGGGAAGGGTCCAGAAACAAGGGGGTTTCTGGGGGCTGAGGGCGGCTTTCTGCACCTTGGCTGCAGATCTCTGTTCTCTGCCTTCATCTCCCCTCACCGTTCCCATGGAAACCTTTTAAGCGAACTTCTCAGGAAGACAAAAATCTTTTTTTAAATGACTAAAGAGGGGGGTGGGGGGGCAGCAAGGGGGAGGGAGGGGAAGAGACAGATGGAGAGAGGGAGAGAGTTGGAGAGACAGACCGAGCAGATAGCTCTACAGACAGACAGAAAGGAGATGAGATGGGGGTCTGACGGAGTTCCATGGGAGTGGGGGGGGCAGGTAATCAGAGGGGTACAGAAAATAAGAGAAATCAAGGAGGAAAGAGAAAGGGGGTGATACAACTGCAGAAAATAGAAGCAGTTGATAAGAGTAGGGAAAAAGGTGCAAGAAAAGACGGAGACCACAGGCCTGAAGGTCCGGAAGAAGAATGGGGGGGGGGTGAGGACAGGAACTAGGTCATTCTCTCCAAGATCCCAGACCAAGGGCTGGCAGGGGCAGGGGCAGGCACACTCGGACTGGAAGCTAAAGATCTAAGGAGACTATTTTTACAAGCACCAAGAAAACAGTCAAACGTCGCTGCAGGAGAGGAAAAAGGGAGCGAAGCCGAGCAACGACCCGCTGGGGCCTCTCACCCACAGCCCCTGGCCCTCCATATCCCAGAGGAGGGCGCCATCTCCGCTCAGAAAGCCAGACTCAGTCTCCGCCTCTGCCCGCCCCCGCCAGCTCCCTTCGTTCCCGGACGCCCGCGCCCCTCCAGCCCTCCCCGCCCCTCTCCGGGGCACGAGAGCCTGCGCGGCCGCCGTACCATGCTCGCCGTGGGGCCGCCCCTCCACCGGCACGGAGACGGTGCGTCTCAGCAGTTTGTTGCGACTGGACTCGCTCCTCCGGTCCCGGATCAGAAGGGGATGTATCTAGGGGATGCAGGGGAGTAGGGGTCAGACCTCACCGGCCCGTGCCGCCCCTCCTCTTCCCCTTCCCCACCCAGGAAGGGTGGGCCTCGTTTCCTCCTGGCCCACCTTCTGCCCCTTCCCCTCCACTCTCTTCAAGTGTCTCTGAGTGGACCTCTCCCTTCCCTTCCCCATCTGTCTCTCTCTCATTCCTTCCCTTCCCACTTTCTTCTTTTCTCCCTCCATTTCTCCTGAAACCTGCTGAGAATTCTCCCAAACCCTACTCAGCTCTTTAGCAACTCCTCAGGAGTTAGCTACTTCCTGAATCCAGTTTTCCCTTGACCTTCAGTTCCTCCATTCTCCCTGCTTTCCTCCCAACCTCCCACCTCCCTTACCCCCTTCTCTCCTTCCGAGCCTGTCACGGGGGTAGCAGAAGCTGCATTTATAATCGGGATCCACAGCTTGTCTCCCTCCCACGGCCCGGCTTGCGGCCAGACTGGGACCCAACCTCCCCTTCCCCCAGAGGGCCTGGTCACCTCCCCCCACCTTTCTTCTCCTTCCATCACCGGCCACCCAACATCTCTTCAGTTTCCGTTCCTTCTTTCAGCCCTTACCTTTCCCTAAGCCGCACCCCACACCCCACTCCACTGTCCCAACCTCCACACCTCTCCAACACTCCAGTTTCCTCTACCCCCATCAGGAGCTACAGGAACCAGATCCCTCCCTGCCCCGCCTGCTAACCCCCAGCCTCAGTTCCACAACCCATCCAATTTCCAACTCCCTGCGACCCTACACACTGTTCATTTTCCCAATTCCAACCACCCCACACATATGTACCCTGCTACTCCAGAGCCTGGCCATTCCTGTTGTCCCTTAGCTTGCTGGCCACTGGTCCCTTCTGTCTGTTCCCATCTCTGTCATTTCTTCATTACCCCACCCACTGTCCTCCCTCTCCATCCTTACAACAGTCCCCACTCCTCTTGGTTCCAGCTTTCCCCAGTTTATACTATAGCTTCCAAACCCCTGATCAAGGTTGATAACCAGTTGTCAATGCCCAAAACTTAGACTCCCCAAACCACTTCTCCTTTCAGAGTCACCATGTCCTTCCCTAGACACCTCTACTTTATTCTGTGGCCTGCCAACTCTCCACACTCTCACTTTGACACCCTGGTTAGCCCTAATTCAAGTTCTAGTGCTGCCTCACCAAACCATGCCCAGTAGCTTTCAAAGCATATCTCTTACTACCTCTGGTCTTCCAGGGTATCCTACTACTCTAAAGTTTGTCTCCCGAATCATCCCCATTCTTTGAATCACACTCATAAGGCATTCACCCTTCATACTGCATCCTTTCTTTGCTCCAATGGACCCTCCACTGCTGACCCAGCTCCCAAGTCAAGACCCACACTTCCCTGGCTTTCAAATCTCCTATGGCCACCACCTCTATAAAAGCCCTCTGTCCATTTCATCTCCTTCAGTCTGGCTAGTCCCTGTTCCTACCTGCTCCTACTCCTTTAGACAACTCCCCATACTCCCAGTCCCCCTCCTTCTCAGGTATCTCCTTCCTTAATATTCCTTTCTGATGTCCAAACAATCCCTGGCAAAAGCCCTGATCACAGGCACCCTCCCAAGTTTCACCCCACTCCATGCCAAGGTCCACTGACCTCTGCCATCTTTTCCAATACCCTCCAGTCTCCTCCTAGTTGCCAAAAAACCCTACTGTCCCCTGCCTTTTTTCCAGGTCCCTCAATGTCCTCTCCCTGCATTTTGCCCCGTGGTGGAGAAAGGACTAAGAATGGTGAGTGCTGAGTCCTGTTCAATGGGGGAAGAGTATAGGGGAGGCCTTCCCATCTCTTTATCCCTTCTCCAAGTCCTTCAGTTTCCCTTCCCCATTCTAACCTATCCTACAGTATGGGCAGGGTGCAAACATGAGGCACCCTCAAATCTTCAGAACCACATCCCCTCCTCAACTCTGTCCATGGCCTTCAAAGATCCCCCTGGCCAAGGTGAGAGAATGATTGCCCCTTTTATCACATCCCAACCCAAGTCTTAATGGCCACCCTCCTCCATTTGCAAATGTCTCTCTCTTCTTTGCCTTCTTTGTGTCTCTCCCCTCATCACTAATTAGGACTTTCCCCATTGGTTGCTCCCCATTCTCCCACAGGTCTTTTTCCACCCTTCTCACCCTGCTCACCTCATCCTCATCCAGCATGAGCAGCTGGTTTCCCGAGATGATGCAGAACCGAGGATTCCAACCAGGTCGATCATATGGGGAATGAACGTATTGGGTTCGGTGCATAGGGGGTCCCCGTACATCTGGGGGACAGAGACACACAGATACAATAAGGGAGGCTCTATGCATATGGGAGCAGAGGCCTAAAATGGCAAGAAGAGCTCCCACAAACTGGGAGAACGGGACCCCACCCATCTTGAGATCATAGTTGACGGTGAGGCACCTGGTAACTTTAAGGAACACGAGACAAGCCTTTACATCTGGGAAAAAGAGACAAGGAGAATCACATCACAGGAGGCTTTGTGGAATTGGGGGAAGAAATACAGAGGGGTGGTTCAGGGAGGAGAATTCTATCATGACAGAGAGGGTACACATTTGGGAGCAGAGAAAGGTGAGGGACCTTTCCATCCATTTGAGGAAAATAGAAAGGTACAGTTGCAGAAAAATTGGCAGAAGAAAAACACACAGAGAGGTTGGTGGCAGGTATCTGGGAAAAGGAAGGGCATCCAAATAACTGCAGAAGACAAGAACTTGGAAGGCTGGCACTACCCACCTGCAAGAGAGTAAGAGGAAAGCTACACAGCTGTAGAAAAGAAGGATGGGGGTGTGTGAAGTAACACTGGGATCATGAGACTCTGAGAGCTCAACATCAGGAAAAGAAAGGAAGTGGGAGAGCTTACCTGTTTACAGAGTCAGAGACATGACAGGGCCTCCCCCCCCCACCTCTCCTTTCTCCTCTGCACCCTCCTCCCCAGTTCAACCTGTTCATCCTTTGAAGAGAGTTCTGATTCTTGTGGTAAGGAGAAGATGGCTTTTGTCAGCATCTGACTGTGGAAGGGCCAGGGCAGGAGAAGGTGGGAAATATGCCCTTGTTTGGGTGAGCAGAGACCAAATTGATCTCTTGCCCCATTCTATGTCCATAGCATAAAGATCCAATATTATCTCCCCCCAGCCCCTACCTAATCTCCATGGACAGGACAGAAGCCAACACCACAAATTAGGAGCATCCCCAAGGCACAGTGAGGAGCCTAAGGATGAAGAGGGTGGGGAAGACAGGAATATCCAGGCCCGATGACATATAAGGGCCTCCAAAGATGAGAGCTGGAGATGAGAACAAAACTTCCAGAAGAGCAGAATAGTAGACCAAGTGTCGTCCATGCTCAGAGATGCCCCAAGGATCCCTGTTTCCCAACTTTGCTGTTCCTCTTGCTATGCCTTTTCTTCCTGCAAACTACTTCTCCTTTTAACCCTAAGGCTGCATACCATCACAGGGACACAAGACAGAGCACATTGAGGTAAGAGAAGTCAGATCGGGGATACCAAAGTGATAAAATTAGGCTTAAGGTATCACAGTGAGAGAGAGTTTAGAGGAAGAAAAATCAAATTCTGTCACCTTTGTGGGATAATTAACCATGGGTATACAGCAGAACTGGCCTTTGAACTTCCTTCCTACAGAATGTCCTGAGTAGGAGAGTTTTGAAAAATCCAGCCCTTTTCTGTCTGCAAATATGTCCTTCAAATTTACCCAACCTCTAGATCAGAGTTAAGAAATGAGCCCCCAGAAGGTCCACTGTCTAGAAAGCACAGTACTTTGAAACTTTACCTCAATGCCATCTCGGGGCCTTTAACTAATACTCTGTAGATACAGAGATCACCAATACCTAGGTTCTGACTGCACACATTGCAGGCAGCATGCCCACCACACTCACACACTCAGTACACCCAGAGGAGAAATCTGTTGGTACACATAATCATTTTGGGAGGAGCTGGTTCAGGCTGCAGCCAAGAGAGGGAGGTTAGACTTCAGGGGGCACTTTTTTCCTGGGAGCAGGGAAGGACACAAGGAACTTAGCTTAGGAGCAACTCTGGAAACACACACACACACACACACATTCTGGATTTAGGAAAGAATGATTCTGGGAGGCAGATTCAAGAGGCAGAGGAACATGGCTGAGAAAGGAGGGAAATTTACTAGGATGAGAAATCCCACAAGATGGGATTTCTCAGATGGGGATCCCTTGTAGCCCCTGTTCTAACCATCAAAACCTATGTCTTTATACCTCAAATCTCCAGCACCCCAGGAGACAAGAGGAATGGTGGTAAGAGCTGAGGTATTAAGGGAAAGTGGTAGGCACAGACTTGTGGTGACAAGATGGGGAGTGGGGTATAGAACAGAGAATGGGCTGGGGGATGTGTAACAGTGATCATCTAAAAGAGAAGGCAGAGATGATGGTAAATACTTAGGGACAAGGGAATACACCAGAAGGGCTCAACTGGACATGGGGCAGAGGAAATGAGGCAGACCTAGCAAGGAGGCCAGGACAAGGGGGTCAAGAAGGAGGGGGTGGAGAGATGGCAGAAATATGAGGGAGCTACCATACAGAAGAGAGGGGGAGAGAGAATAGGCATCAGAGGGGGACTGATATAGGGGAAGGACAGAAGGGGGACTCATATAAGGAACGGACACCATATGGGGGGAAAGATATAGGTGATGGACAGCAGAGGAGGGAGGAGGAATGCAAATAGGATTGGAAGTGGGGGAAGGGGTAAAAGTGATGAAGTGAAGAGAGTGATAAGACCCCAGGGGCTACATTTCACTGGTCAAGAGCCTTAATGAGGATCTTAACCTGGCCCTATTCCCATCATTCAATCATCCTTGTACCTGCACGCCACCCTCCCTCAAATACACACATAATTTGGCCCTCCCCCTGCCCTTGTCTCCCCTCCCCCAACCCAATTCCTCTCTCTCCTCTCTTCCCTCCATCTGGACCCTCCATCCCCCACCCCTCCCCACAGCCTCCCTCTCTCTCCATCTGGCCCCTTCTCTCCCTCCATCCTCTTTTTCTACCCCTTACCATTCTTTGAGCCCCCACCACATTCTCCCCCCATCTTCTTGGCTTCTCTTTTTACCCCTGTGTTTTCATTTTCCCCTCCAGAGGCTCTCCTAAGACTCTGCTCTTCTATTTCTTTGATATTTTCACTCAGCTCCCACCCCCAAATTATTTCTGCAGCTCTTCCCCCAACCCAATCCTCCTGTCTTCCCACCCCTATCTGGTGCTCTCTTTCCCTTCATCATTTCCCCCTCAGTCCCCCTTCAAGGCCCGTTTCCTGGCCCTTCCATTCCTTATCTATCCTTATCCCTCTGGCCTCCAATCCCTCCTACCCCGTTGCTCCCATCCCTGCCTACCCGGTCCTCCCCCTCCTTGGCCCCAACTCTCCCCCGCCTCCTGCCCCTCCCCCTGTTGCCCCCCATCTGGCCCTCCCCCTCCCCCAACACCGTACCTCTGAAGGGGGCATAGGACATCGCGGGGATGCTCCCCCGATGGATGGAGGCGCGAGACCTGCTCATCAGGCCTGGGGGGAGGGGGCGGGGGGACGGGGGAGAAAGAGAAGAGAGAAAGAGGGGGAGAGAGAGGGGGAGAAGGAGGAGGAGGTGGAGGAGGAGGAGGAGAGAGGAGGAGAGAGGAGCAGAGAGAAGCAGAGAGGAGGAGAGAGGAGGAGGAGGAGGAGAATAAGAGCCAACGGCAGCAGCGGCAGCTGAGAGAGAGAGAGAGAGAGAGAGAGAGAGAGAAGGGGGGCGGGGGAGCGAGCGAGAGCGAAGAGAGCAGGAGGAGGAGGAGGAGGGAAAGACTCTGCAGCCCCCACCCCTACTCAGGGAGACCCAGAGAGAGAGAGACAGAGACCCCTGATTCAAAAACACACTAGAGAGACAGATCGTTCCTAAAGATGCAGACCCCAGACCCTGAGATGGAAAGACCCCAGACCCACAGAGAAAGATACCTCACCCTCACCCCTCGAGTTAATCTGAGACACACCCTAAATCTAGAGGAAGAGAGACCCTCGATCTCAGAAAAAAGAACTCCAGATACCCCTGAGAGAGGAGCTAAAGATCAAAATCTTAGTCTCATAAAGGTTCTCTATAGCCACAGAAATCTTAGACTCCAGACCCTGAGTTGATGTTTTTCAAGACAAAGACCTGAGACCTACACTTAAAAGATAAGGTTAGATTCGGAAAGACCCAGACCTAGAATTAGATCTTAGATCAGAGAGAGATCTGGGAGACCCTAGACTCAGATCTCAAAGAAACTGCAGACTTAGGGTCTGATAACAGAGAGAGAGAGAAAGACTCAGTTGGCCCAGAAATGGAGCCCTCATAGGCCCAAAACTCACAGAGTTGTGTTTTGTTTTGTTTTTTTTGAGAGTCTCACTTTGTTGCCCAGGCTAGAGTGAGTGCCATGGCGTCAGCCTAGCTCACAGCAACCTCAAACTCCTGGGCTCAAGCAATCCTTCTGCCTCAGCCTCCCGAGTAGCTGAGACTACAGGCATGCACCACCATGTCAGGCTAATTTTTTCTATATATATTAGTTGGCCAATTAATTTCTTTCTATTTATAGTAGAGACTAGAGACAGGGTCTGGCTCTTGCTCAGGCTGGTTTTGAACTCCTGACCTCGAGCAATCCGCCTGCCTCGGCCTCCCACAGTGCTAGGATTACAGGTGTCAGCCACCACTCATCCTGCCATGAAGAGTTTTAAAGATCTCAGAGAATGTGGCAGTGGACCCTGAAACACAGAAACTCCCAAAATAGAAAACATAGAAGTAAACTCAGTCCTGAGAAAGATCCCAACACAAATATTGAAAGACCCTAGAGATCCGTCTTAGAGACAAACTTCAAACCCAAAGAAGGAGATCTCAGGGATACCCCCAACCCTGGAGAGGTAAGTATGAGAAAACTCTGACAGCAGGCATACCCACTACCAGACAGCTGACCCCAAACCTTGGAGGGAGAGGGAAAATTGGGTCCAGGGAGTGGCAAGAACCTTTTTCTCTGCTGCTTCCTCCTACTCGTCTCACTTCTCTTTGGCCAGTCTCTCCATTTTTGGGTCACAGCATGTGCTTGGGCCCCAGGGAGGTTATGTAGGGCAGGTCCTGGCTCCTTAGGGGATGGGTTAAAGAAAAGAGACCCAAGGCTGATAGATTAACCAATCTTGGGGATGGTAATAGTGCAACAGGCAGGGAAGAGGGGACAAAAGACTATCACTACTGTCCCCAACCTGCACTTCCTCTGATTCACTAGTCTGTCTCAAGCTTTGGGTTTTCAGTTAGGAGGGCTGTGGCGCCCTCATCCCCATTTTCATCATCCTCTATCCTATTTGTAGGATCTTGCTCTATCCTTTCCTCACATAGCCATTGTTTTGCCATGCTCGTGCCTGCCTATCACTGCCCCCTACCCAGGGGCAGCTGGCTTCTCCTCAGTTAATGGTGTTCATTCCCAAACCCAGGCATGTTTCCGCCCTAACTAAAAGAGCAGGGGCACTCTCTTCACCCCCTGAGGTTTAGTCTTCTCAGACCCTCCCACTCCTTAAGGCCTCATAAACAATGTAGGGGCTGCTATATGCACACTCTGAGGTTTTAGGATAGTTCCCCACTCCACGGCTGACGCATCAAGTCTGCGGGGTCACCAGCCCCTCTTTCCTGGCGCCAGTTCTCTCGTCACGTGGCCTGCGGGACTGGCCTACGATTGGCCACTTGATATCACTCACTGAGGTACCGCCCCCTAAGAGGACTGACCCCCTCACGTGACACTGGAACGCCGCAGCATCTCTCCTCTGCCAGCAACTGGCCCTTTCGGGTTTACGCGGAAACGGGCGTGCCACTTCCGCGCACGTCTGCAGATCCGGCCGTCGATTGGTCAATTCTCCCTGCGCTCCTCCCTCACTAGGAGGCGGGGCAAACCGAGCCACGTGAGAGCCAGGATTGGCTGGCTCTGGAGGCTCGGGTAGTCCGGCTTCTACTGTCACGTGGTGTGTGCTGTTTTCTCATCACGTGGCTACCGCCCAGGTAAGAAGAGGCCGCTCTTCTAGACTTGGGGTCTTTTCTCCGTGTAACGTGTGGCTTTTGTTACCAGCTCTCTTCTGCGAGCGTAGGCTGCATGAGTAGGGGGCGGGCTTCCGCAGTCCTGCTTGGCGGAGGGGTGAGTGACGGGCCCCGCCCCGCCCCTTGTGGTCCTGGAAACGTAGACCGCTACCCATACCCCAAATCCCAGAGGTTGGCCACCCGTGGTGTGAGTGGAAACCGAGTCTTTGCCTTAATCTTGCAAGTTTCTCTCCCAGCTTTAAGGACATTTTCCTTCCGGGTGCAGAAGAGGGAGGGCAGAGCCTGGGTGTCCAACTAAGCAAAGGTTTCCCAGGTGCAATTTCCTGGTGTGTTTGGGCCAGACTGAATTTGGGCCTGACACCTCCGCCCCGCCCTGCTCTCAGGCAGCTCTGCTCCTGTCGTGTCTTTGGATGCCGGCACTGCTGCCTGTGGCCTCCCGCTTTCTGTTGCTGCCCCGAGCCCTGCTGTCCATGGCCTCTGGAAGCCCCCCGTCGCAGCCCTCGCCGGCCTCGGGCTCTAGCTACGTTCCAGGCTCTGTCTCCGCAGCCTTCGTCACTTGCCCCAACGAGAAGGTCGCCAAGGAGATCGCCAGGTGGGGAGTGAGGATGGATGATCGTGAAAGGAGAGTTGGGGTTAGGGAAGGAGAGTGCCACTTTCTGCTCTCTCCAGCCTTTGAGCTGCCAGCGCTACAGTCAGGGCCATGGAGCATTCTGAATTTGGCTGTCTCTTCATCTTAGGGCTGTGGTGGAGAAGCGCCTAGCAGCCTGCGTTAACCTCATCCCTCAGATTATATCCATGTGAGTCATAGGAGCTGGGGGGTTAACCTGTATCTAGGGGCTGACTGGCAGCTTTTTTCCTCCGACTTTCCACCCCTCTCTGACTTTTTCAGCTATGAGTGGAAGGGAAAGATCGAGGAAGACAGTGAGGTGCTAATGGTGAGAAACATCCACCCCAAAAAAACTTTCCTAATTCCCAGACCCCTTGTACCCTTACTCCTTATCTGATATTCTGAAATCATTCCTACCCCTTAATTCAACCATGTTTATCTTTGCTCCTTAGATGATCAAAACCCAGAGTTCCTTGGTCCCAGCTTTGACAGATTTTGTTCGGTGAGAACTTTGAGATGAATAGGGGTGAGGGTGTGTACTGCAGGGCAGGACTTGCTTGGGTAGTCTAGGGCTTGTATCTGAGTGGGTGGGCTCCTTTGGGCAAATCTTTGAATAACCCTCGGCACTGCCCCCCTAATCTATTTTGTAGGTCTGTGCACCCTTACGAAGTGGCTGAGGTGATTGCATTGCCTGTGGAGCAGGGGAACTCCCTGTACCTGCATTGGGTACGCCAGGTCACAGAGTCAGTTTCTGACTCCAGCACAGTTCTACCATCATGAGCCCTGTTCCTGCCATGATCCCCTCTGATACTTCAGTGCCCTCTGATTTCCAAGTGATAAATGGACTCCCATTAAATCCTATCTTTGGTTCTTTTCGCCTTTTGCCTTTTTTCCTTGTCATATACAAATTTGCTTGGGGAAGGTAAGAAGTACTTTTCTCCATCTTTCAGAATAACTCAGAGCTGCTTCATTTGTTTATTTCTCTTTATTTTAATCATACAGAGTCTGGGATCCCTTATTATCCCCCCCTCCTCAGTCTCTGCCCCCAGGGGTTAAATAATTTTTAAAAATATTTAAAAAGCTGTAACAAAATAACATCAAAGAAAATGAGAAGGATGGGAGGGTCAGGAATCCTGGAGAGGGTAGAGAAGAGAGCCTCTTCCCCACCCTCCCACTTGGATTCCAGCCTGGGCAGTAGGGAGAATTACTCTCTATCTTTCCAGGTACATCCCAGCTGTAGGTGAGGTCAGAGGTCAGGGTATGAAAGTGCCGGTGTGTGTGGATGGGGAGGTGGGC